TTTTTTAAATGTGCTGAAAAGCTCAGCTTATATGAGTATGTACAGTTAATTAATGAATGTTCATAAAATAATTGTTTATAAGGGCCCCAAAGAGGAAGCAATCCAAGCAAATGTCCATCGACTGATTAATGGATAAATAAAATATATTATCCAATGAAATGTTCATACATGGATATAGTCACACAATCATATATTTATTCAATGAAATGTTACTTGGCTATAAGAAAGCATGGTACAAGCATAAAGATGGCGGCAGTGCCCCCAACGTGCCATCCTCAGCAAATTACGAAGCCACGCGTGGAAATGTCTATGAAGCTTCAGTGTGGACAAATTCTTTCCGTGGTTTAAGGGGATTCTGCACTTGAGGCTTTGAACTTCAGCTTGCACAGTAAATGGTTTGGAGTTTGGAGCTTGGTTTTGAGAGGATTTTGTTTGGTTTTATTTCCTTTTGTTACTGTCTATTTTGGTCTTTCCTCTCTTTATCTTTTCATGTAGACCAGATATCTGAAAGGTGAAAGGGCAGACGATGGCTAAACATGTCATGTGCAACTTGCCTATACATTATTTTTTTTAACTTAAAAAAATCATTTTATTGGGGGCTCATACAACTCTTATCACAATCCATCCATCCATCCATTGTGTCAAGCACATAATTTTTTTGAAAACTTTCACCTTGGTTGGGAAATTGAACCACAGGATCTCCAGGCCAGTAGTGGCAATTGCCCTTCGCCCTTATGTCCAGGTCCAATACCTATTGTTTCTCCTTTCAAATATGTGATTGTACAAGCTCTTTCTGCATGAAAGAATTCTCCTTATTTAATTTTTTTCTTTTTTAAGTTTAAAAAGAAGAAAAGAATGAAACATACTACCCCATGGCTGACCCTGGAAAACATTTTGCTAAATGAAGGATGGCAGACACAAAGCCCACCTAGGGTGGCCATTTATCACTTGGTGGGCATATGGGTTGTATCTACCTTTTGACTCTTACAAATGATTTTGTTGAACTTATGAACACGTTCCTATGTGGGCATGTTTTCATTTCTCTTAGTCTATGCCTAACAGTGGAATGGCTGGATCATTTGGTAATTCTATGCTTAATTGCTTGAGAAGCTCTGACTGTTTCCAGAAGTGACTGTATCTGTATATATTTTCTGTACATTCCCATAAGGAACCCTGGTGGCGCTGTCTGGTAAGCATCGGACTGCTGTCTGCAAGTTTGGGGGTGCAAACCCACCAGTTGCTCCATGGAAGGAAATGAGGTTTTCTGTTCCTATAGATATTTACACCGCCTGGGAAACTACACGGGCCGCTATGAGTCAGAATCTACTCAATGACAGTTGCTCTGGAGTTCTTGGCTGTATTCCCATGGGCAGTATCTGAGCAGTGGATTTCTCCCCATCTTCACCAAAACTTGTTAGTATCCAGCTTTTTGATTTTTCGTATCCTAGTGTGTGTGAAGTGGTAATAAATTGTGATTTTGACTTGAATTTCCCCGATGAATAATAATGAAATCCTCTATGGTGGGAATAGTGAAAAACACAAGGCAAACAGTTGTCTTAAAATCCATTGAACGGATCCCATATGTATCAAAGCAGAACTGTGTTCTCAGGGTTTTCAATACCTGGATTTTCAGAAGTATGCTTTCTTGTTCTAAAAAATACTTTAATTGGGGGCTCATACATCTCTTAACACAATCCATACATTCCTCCAGTGTGTCAAGCATATTGGCACATATGCAGCCATCATCATTTTCTTTTCTTTGTGTGTGTGTGTGTGTGTGTGTGTGTGTGTGTGTATAAACTATTTATTAATAGACAAGGTTGATAGTCTTCATTTCTTCTTGGACACACCAACAGTTCGGCCACGGCGGCCAGTGGTCTTGGTGTGCTGGCCTCGAACTCGAAGGCCCCAGAAGTGGCGCAGCCCTCTGTGGGCGCCGATCTTTTTCAGCTGCTCCAGAGCTTCCCGGAGCCTGTGGTCCAGACCGTTGGCCAGGACCTGGCGGTATTTGCCATCCTTCGCATCTTTCTGTCTATTCAAGAACCAGTCTGGAATCTTGTCCTGTCGTGGATTCTGCAGGATGGTGATCGCGCGCTCAACCTCGTCTTCAGTGAGCTCTCCTCCTCTCTCGGTGAGGTCGATGTCTGCTTTCCTCAACACCACAGGAGCATATCTT